TCTTAAAGGGACATTCATGTTTGAGTCTCCTTATATATTTCCTTTATACCACCCACAAAAGACTTCTATTCTCTTTTTACTTTTCTTTTAAATTTCCTTAATATCTTTGATATTCAGTACCAGCTTCATCTTTACTTTTACAGAAATGTTTATAATTTCTCAAATTCATTCCCACAGAGAAGACAATGGCATCCAGAAAGACACTATGAACTCATCATTTTGTCTGCTAAGTACACCTTCCTTCATCAAAAAAGAATCTCCTTTAAAGTGGGAAATATTCCTTCCACAGCTTTTGGTTCTAATAGAGGTTGCCAATCGTTTAACCCACCCACCTGTTTAAATTATGAGCATGTGACCTGGCTGGGCCAATCATCGTGCCGCCCCTGTGGGATTGGCCAGAGAAATCCACATCTGATCAACCTAAGCCAGTAAGAGTCCTATTTGGGATTGAAGTGGAGGCACCCCTTTGACTCAGGTGATGATGAAACTGGGAAGAAGTGAGCCTGGAAGATCCCATCAAATCTGCCCCTGGCCAGGGGAGGAAACTGAGAGAGGAAATGGAGCCAATCATTTTGAGTCCCGTCTCTGTCATTGTTCATGCAGCTCTTCTTTCAGATATGTGAGCCACCCACAATTCTGCCAACGAATCACCCTCTTTTACTCCTTTAGTAATTCAGGTTAGGTGTCTGTAACTTCCTGATGAATGCAGGTTCTAATAGTTCTAAGAGCATCAAGAAGCACCTTGCACAGTGGTGTGCACAGAATAGGCACCCAATGTATGTGGGTAAATTGAAGGGCAATTTTTTAAAACACATGAATTGTAGAGAGCAGAAGAGGGATTTCTAAATTGGATAACTGAATTTTATTGTTATTATTGGCACAAATAGTGACTTTATGTCAGGGCTACTAACATTTCAGGTGTTACTATGTGAAGTGATTAAAAGAACAGACCAATGCAGTCCAGTGGAAATACAACTTGAGCCACATATATAATTTTAAATCTTCTAGTGGCCACATTTTAAAAAGAAACAGGTGAAATTAATCATAATATTCTATTTTATTTAACCTAATATATCAACGCTATAGTTTAGGCAAGACCCCTGCATCTGTGCTG